TCTTGGAGCTCCATTTTGGGCCAGAATCTGACACTCCAAACTTGGGGATCATCATTGCTGAAAGAAGGTAACTTAGGCTCAGGGGAGGTTTGGTATGTTGGGAAACTGAGGCCCAAAGCGAGGGAGCAATGTACCTGAAGTCACACAGCAAGTGCGAGTGGGTGGCAGAATTGGGACTAGAGCCCCAGTCCATAGCTTCCCTGCGGAGCTCGGTTCTCCCAGCCTTGTTCCCCTTCCAGCAGGGAGGAGGCTCCACCGGTGCTAGTTGCCAAGACCCAGGAAAACACATTTTTTCCCTCTGTCCTCACAGAGCAAGCAAAATGGCTCAGCAGCCAGAGAGGAGACCATGCCAGCGGGTGGGCCGTCTACAGGATGTCTCTGGAGCAGACTAGGGGGGCCACTAGGGGCATGCAAGAGGGCTTGTGGCTGCCGACTGGGCAAGGCAGCTGTCAATCCCCAAAAGAAGCTTGCTCCCCATGCCTCCCAAGAATGTTAGGAACCTACAGACCCAGGAGGTTAGCTTTCTGGCTTCCAAGGGAGAGGAGAAGTAGGGGTGCTGGTGGGGGTAGTGGCTGGCGTCAAAGAGAGAGCCCTGAGCTGGGGTCAGGACCCCTGGGTTCCAGCCCACCACTGCCACTGCTGTCTCAGGCCCAGAGTCAGCCAGACTGGCAGAGGCCGAGGACCTGGGCCCCCTGGCTTACAGCCCAGTAGTCCCTAGCCTGGGTTTAGAGGCTGAAAGCCTGAAGTTATCAGAAAGCTCCCCCTTGTAGTGACCTTCCCTCTTTGCCTGACTTTGTGGAGCTAGTAGGACATTCCTGGGCAAACATGGGTGCCTCAGCTGACATCCAGGATGTAGTTGAAGGGGGGCTGATGCTAGGATAGGAAGGGATGGAGGAGAGGAGGGAAAAGCAGGTTCAAAGCCTTCCTAGGGCCTTAGAGTCACAGCCAGCTTCAGCCATTATCTAGTACAGGGGATGGCCATCAGCTCCACCTCTTCGGCCTGCTCTGGAGGGCTGTGTTGAGAAGGATTCTGAGGCTGTGTCCAAGCTCAGTGGAAAGCAGTGCTGGGTTGAGAAAGATTCAGGGGCTGTGTCTCCCTCCTTGGGAATAAGTACAGTGACTGATTTTAGTGATGTCTGTGTCTGAGTGGCGAGAGGGGTGATGGCGAGCTTAGCCAGCCACTCACACTCCTGATTTTGTCTAAGCCTCGTGCATTTTCACACTAATACTATTATGATAGTTCCCTCTGTACGAATGGGAAAACCAGGGCCCAGAGAAGAAAACTGACTTGTGCGAGGAGTCAGACTATGCTTTCGAGATTCGCTCTCAGCCACAGAACCCAGGACTCAGCACCCAACCTACATAGCGAGAGGCTTCCTCCCTCTCCTTGGGTCTCTCCGTGTGGCCCAGACTGATTGCCCAGGCATCACTCAGCAACCCAGCTCCCCAAACAGCTGGCACAGGGGCCTGGACATGTAGGCGTCACTTGTATATCACATACCCAGGAGGCCCAACACAAATCCTGGCACATCAGAGTTGGGGTGGCCTTGGAGACTGGCAGGTCCAGCCTTCCCTTCACAGAGGTGGGGAAATAGGACCCAGAGAGGGTGCCTCACCAGGGCCACATGGGAGGAGGCATATGGCTCACTGTGGCCTCAGTCCTGAACTCTACCCTGTGCTGGCTGTGTGACCCTGGACTATTCTATTGCCCTCTCTGGGCATTACCTCTCAGAGTCGTTAAGAAGACCAAGGAGATGATAGTATGAAGGGGTAGGATTCAGTCCTGGGCCATTAAAGGTATTCAGAATTCCTCCCCATTTGCGGGGAAGCCGTCACTCACCTGCTGTGTAACTTCAGGCAACTGATGCCCCTCTCTGGGTCTGCATCCCCTCTTAGGTAAAGTAAGGATGCAGAGCCAGATGGCTTTAAGGGCCTTTCCTGAAATTTCCTATGTGGCCCGGGCCATCTGGGAGATGCTGAATCAGAGCAAGGCCCAGTGCTGGCTACAGGCCTGACCCTTCCTGGACAGACTCAGCAATTCTAATGGCCTCCCAGGTGCTCACTGACCTCTACAGTTTATACCACTTCCACCAAAGCCCTGTGAGGCAGGTATTGATCCTGTAGGTGGGGAAGTAGAGACCCAGAGAGGTGGAGTGGCTCACCCAAGGTCACACAGCCTGAAGAAAACCGAGATGAGTCTCAATCCAAGCTTGACTCCAATCCAGTGCCCTTTCCCTCTTTCCCACGCCCCATCTCAGGGCCAAAAGTCACATGGATGGGATCCCTTCTGCTCCCCTTCATCTTCTCCTGGTATCTGTACCATCTCTGCCCGGCAGAAGCAAGGAAGCAGCTGGAAAGTGGGAAGAATTGGGGACTGGGCCAGGAGGTTTTTCTCTCAGGCTGTATTCAGCTAGGTTTGGCTTGGAATTCAGTTCAGACACTGACAAGTTGGGTGACAGTGTCAGAAGCTCCATCCGCCCATTCCCCAGTGCCTGCTCTGGGCTCCCCAGTGCCTGCTCTCACCCTGTGCTGGGCAGCCTTAAGTACCAGGGCCTGACTCAGCCTGGTCCCTGCCCGCAAAGCTCCCTGTCTGGTGGAGAGACAAGGAAATAGACCACAACACAAGGGGAGAAGGGCTGGGTGGAAGGTACCTAATGAGTCCTAGGGGTCAGGGAGGGCTTCCTGGAGGAGTAAATGTCTATGCCCAGGGCAGAAGGATGAGTGGGAGTCTGCCAGGCAATGTGGGGGAGGACGGAGGGGAGAGAAGTGTCATGGGGTGGAGGGTTTAGGGGGAGGAAGTGAAAGACACCCTGTGTGGCTGGATTGCAGAATGGAGGGGGCAGTGGTGGAAGATGAGCCTGGGGCTGGACATGCAGGGCCTGGGGTGCTGTGCAGGTGGGTCTGGACTCCATCCTCAGGATAGTAGGGAGCCATGGAAGGTTGAAATCTGGGTGGTGGCATGGTTATGTGTTGCTGTGTGGAGGATAAGGGAGGCCAGAAGGAGCAAGGAGACATGTTGGGACCTCCCCAGGAAGATGAGCCTGGGGCTGGACATGCAGGGCCTGGGGTGCTGTGCAGGTGGGTCTGGACTCCGTCCTCAGGATAGTAGGGAGCCATGGAAGGTTGAAATCTGGGTGGTGGCATGGTTATATGTTGCTGTGTGGAGGATAAGGGAGGCCAGAAGGAGCAAGGAGACATGTTGGGACCTCCCCAGGTGTGTGTGTGTGTGTGTGGAGGGGGTGGATGTGGACCATTTAAGAGGCCCGCATTGAAGGGTAGGATCAGTGAAGGTGGTGAATGAGCATCTCCAGGTGGTGTGTGTGAAAGGTCAGGGCAGCCAGCAGGTTCCATATGATTTGTCCAGGTAGGTTGGGGGGGTATGCATAGAGGCCCCCAAGGAGAGCTAGGTGGGCAGCCAGGACCTGAGCCCCATAGGTGTTGGAGGGCCTGGTGGGAAAACTGAGGCCAGAGCCCAGGCTAAGCCTACATGTTCAGCTATGGAGGCTGCAAGACAGGTGTCTACCCCATGAAGTAGGCCTCCCTTGTGCCCACCAAGGCTCAGTACAGGAGTCCAGAGCTGCCTGAGTCTTGACTGGGGACCCAGCCTCCGCTTCTCCCAGCTGTACCACAAGAAGCCTGGGCACCTCTTAGGACCTTCCTGGCCCAAGGGCCACAATGGCTGCCTCTGTCAGGGGACCTCTTGAAGTGCCAACTTCCCTTTCCTGTCCCACTTCTTCCTCCTCTGAGCTGCCAGACCCCCTGACTGTGTGGGCTGGGAGGGGTTGGGGGTTCCTGAGAAGCCCTGGACTGTCCCCACCTCGGCCTGAGTCACACTGAGAATTCAAGTCTGTGCAGGGCACTGTTCTAAGCACTGGGCAGATAGCAGTGGACGAGACAAGATCTCTGCCCTCGTGGAGCTGGCATTCTAATTGGTGGAAACAGAAACTGAACAAATACGTAAAATACGTGTGAGTAATGACAATTATAGGTAGTGAAAAGTTCTATGGAGAGACAGGAGGTAGGGAGGGGAGACAGGGAGTGTGTGTGTGTACCAGGCGCTAGGAATTCTCAATGGAGCAAAACTGAGATTTGAAGAGAGACCTGAAGGAGGGAGGAAGCCAACTTTGTGGCTTTCTAGAGAATGAGAATGCCAGGCAGCAGGCCAGCCAGCCACCAAAAAAAAAAAAAAAGAAGAAGAAGAAGAAGAAGAAGAAGAAGAAGAAGAAGAAGAAGAAGAAGAAGAAGAAGAAGAAGAAGAAGAAGAAGAAGAAGAAGAAGAAGAAGAAGAAGAAGAAGAAGAAGAAGAAGAAGAAGAAGAAGAAGAAGAAGAAGAAGAAGAAGAAGAAGAAGAAGAAGAAGAAGAAGAAGAAGAAGAAGAAGAAGAAGAAGAAGAAGAAGAAGAAGAAGAAGAAGAAGAAGAAGAAGAAGAAGAAGAAGAAGAAGAAGAAGAAGAAGAAGAAGAAGAAGAAGAAGAAGAAGAAGAAGAAGAAGAAGAAGAAGAAGAAGAAGAAGAAGAAGAAGAAGAAGAAGAAGAAGAAGAAGAAGAAGAAGAAGAAGAAGAAGAAGAAGAAGAAGAAGAAGAAGAAGAAGAAGAAGAAGAAGAAGAAGAAGAAGAAGAAGAAGAAGAAGAAGAAGAGGTGACTGTGACTAGGGTTAAAATAAATGAAGTTATGTGATGTGACACAGGGTATTTTAGCCCAGGATGGTCAGGGAAGACTTCTCTGGGGAGCTGGCATTTGGCAAAGACCTAAATGATGAGGAGTCGCTATGGGCACATAGGAGAACAATAAAGAGAACAGCAAGTGCAAAGGCCCTGAGGCTGGAATGAGCCACTCAAGGAGGCCTCTGTGGCTGGACCAGTGTGGAGACAGGAAGCCTGTAGGTATGAGATGAGTGCTAAGACAGCAGGGCCCCTGAGTGCCAAAGTAGGGAGTTTGGATTTTATTCTAAGTGTGTGGGGGGATAGGGAACACAAGAAAGTGACCTTGACCTTCTTTTCCCCCTAGGTCTCCAGCCCAGAGGGCACCTTCTGCAAATATGTCTGTGGATCCCTTATCCAGCAAAGCCCTGAAGGTGAGGAGTCAGCCCCTGCTCCCCAGTGCCCCCTGTGCTCCTTCAGAGCCTCCACATCCCAACTTCCCCTTCCCTTCCTGGAATCCCCAAGGGTGGCTTAGCAGGCATCAGGCGTTCATGATGTGGGGGAACGGCCCCGGGCTGGGAGCCACGAGCTCTGGGGCTCTGGTCACCTGCCGTGTGCTCCAGGCAGGTCACTTCTCTCCCTGGGCCCGCTTCCCTATCAGGTCAATGCCCACTGGGGCTTTCAAGGGTGCTTTCCTGGCTGGGTTTCTGTGGCTGAGTCCAGGACTTGGCGCTAGGTTAGAATTCGGGCTGAGCCCTTCTGTGTTTCCATCCTGGTTTGGCCTTGTTTCCCCATTCCGGAATCCTGCTCTCCTTCGGGGTCTTAGATCAAGTCCAGCCACCACCTCGGTGGCTACGGCGGTGAAGGGGGAGCACGTGCTGCGCGCCGGACCCAGGGCTCGGGGCCCACGGGCGGGAGGGCGACCCTGGGCCTCAGTTTCCCCCTGCTCGCAGATCAAGCGCGAGCTGAGCGAGAACACGCCACACCTGTCGGACGAGGCGCTGATGGGGCTGTCGGTGCGCGAGCTCAACAGGCACCTGCGCGGGCTCTCGGCCGAGGAGGTGACGCGGCTCAAGCAGCGGCGCCGCACGCTCAAGAACCGCGGCTATGCCGCCAGCTGCCGCGTGAAGCGCGTGTGCCAGAAGGAGGAGCTGCAGAAGCAGAAGTCGGAGCTGGAGCGCGAGGTGGACAAGCTGGCGCGCGAGAACGCCGCCATGCGCCTGGAGCTCGACGCGCTGCGCGGCAAGTGCGAGGCGCTGCAGGGCTTCGCGCGCTCCGTGGCCGCCGCCCGAGGGCCGGCCGCCCTCGTGGCTCCCGCCAGCG